CATGTAACACCTTACCCTGCCATTGGAACAGGGTGGTAAGGTGTTCTGTCCTCGACGCATTATCTTCAGTAAGTCCCAAGCTGCAGCCGAAGTTGCAGAGGCCAATGCCGAAACAGGCTTCAACATCCTCTTGAGCACTGCATCAATAGCCAACATCTTAGAGTCCTGCACTCGGTAAGAAGACTGTGAAGAACCCGATAACGTTTGAGGGATTCATCATGAGCCGCGCCTCCATCAGCGAAATCCAGGCTATATATCTTGTAGTCCCCTTTGCGTGACTTTGGAGCCTTAATAGTAGTATTGAGAGACAGTTTAGCAAAGTCGGCATCCAAAGAGGCCACCGCATTGGCCACCATCGGGTGAGGCGGGAGGAGGAACTCGGGAGAAGTCCTAGTAGCTCTTGGGTCATCAGAGCCTGAAGAGGGAGAAGGACAATCTGGCAGTCTGTCGGCAATCCAGTCAAATAAAGCAGATATTGGGAGGTAAGTACCCCCATCATCTTCCTCTTGTAACATCTCTTCATTATAATCGGGGAGAAAAATTGCGCTCCTCAGCGTCCTCCGAGGACACGGTAGTAGCATTATACCGTTGGCCAGAAGCAGCAGGCGTGGGGCGCTCCGATGACAGTTGAGAAACAGCACTAAAGGTAACTGTAGGGCAACGTGGTCGTCGCGGCGAGCAGCTAAAAGGAGGCGACCTTGAACAGGACCGACGGTAGCGCCAACCACGAGTCGGCGACCTTGAAAACCTCTCCCTATCATTGGGACGTCTGGGACAGCGAGACCTGGAATCAGACTGGCGACGGTGATGACTAGTATCAGAACTATGCCGTGGACTTTGAGAACGATGGCGCTGTCGAGGAGACCTAGAGTGAGACCACTTAGAACGACGGGAGCGTTCGGCTTCCTGGCGTCGGGAACGCTCTTCCAATAACTGACGCTGAAGATCCTCCTCTCGAGACAACGTAGACAGAGGAGCCTTCTTGGGAATACGGTAGTCTAACAACAGCGTAGGCATTTGGGGAGGCACTGGTTGACGCACCAATCCAGCAACATCAGAACTAGGTGCCATCGCCATCGGCGCTGGAACTGCACTAGGCAGCTCAGAAGTCGGCGTTGGGATAGTGCTCAGCGCTGGAATGGCGCTGGCGTGTGCTTTAACTGCTGCAGGCAAAAGGAGCATCCTTAGCAGCTTCTGTACTTCTGGCGTCCGGCTGAGATAAGTCCACAAAGGCGTCAGACGGGCGCTGGGTGTCAGATTACTTGGCGCAGGTGTAGACGTCTGTTCAGCAAAAGGAGAGGAGCGTCCGTCAGGCGTCCATGGAAGAGAAGATCTGGAGCCCAACGACGAAGCAGGTGAAGACATCTTCCTCTTACGCTGCGACAATCATTTCTTCATGGCGGCAGTGTAAGCCTTGAAATTGGCGACGGATAACGGCGTACAAAAATGACAGCGCTCAGCAAGAGAACAGGCTACAGTAGCGCAGTCTGGGCACCAATGGTGGGGCTCCTTGGCAGACTTCTGCACCTTGCAGATACAGCAAAACTGCCGGGTCATGCACACAAAGGCTGTAACACAGGAAAAAAAGTGAAACGTAAAAACTTCGTAAACACACAAAAGCAACCAGCAGAGAAAATGGAAACACTCCTGCAGCAAGAATGGGCACGCCCAAGCAGTCAGCAGCAGAGTAAACAACCAAGATGGCTGCCCCCACAGAGCCAAAAAGAGCATGAAAAACAAGCACAAATTAGGCAACAATATCAAGAAATACAAGACCAAGCAGAACATCAAAAAAAAGACAGTAGTAGCTTAACTAGCGAAATCAAAACGTCTGACACACAGTACGCTTGAAGTAAAAGTGATTTTTGGATAGACCGCGCTTGCGCGGAGAGTGGAGATCACGTCACCTCCGTTCCTGTACACTCGTTAATACTAGAGAATGGCGAATCAACGAATGTCTGATCTCTTTTAAGCGGAGCTTGAGGTAACATGCATAATGGTAAGGTAAGTTAAAAATTAAAATAGCAAGTCATAAGTTGCTGTAATACAAAATGGGCCATCGAGTGGACATTCCAAATTTTTCTAATCAATTTTTGAATTGAGACTCAAATTCAAATTATTTATCATTGGACAATGAGGATGGGACAATGAGGATGGGACAATGAGGATGGGACAATGAGGATCGGACAATGAGGATTGGACAATGAGGATTGGACAATGAGGATTGGACAATGAGGATCGGACAATGAGGATTGGACAATGAGGATTGGACAATGAGGATTGGACAATGAGGATCGGACAATGAGGATGGGACAATGAGGATTGGACAATGAGGATTGGGACAATGAGGATTGACAATGAGGGGATGGGACAATGAGGATCCCGGACAATGAGGATCGGACAATGAGGATCGGACAATGAGGATCGGACAATGAGGATTGGACAATGAGGATCGGACAATGAGGATCGGACAATGAGGATGGGACAATGAGGATTGGGACAATGAGGATCGGACAATGAGGATTGGACAATGAGGATTGGACAATGAGGATTGGGACAATGAGGATTGGACAATGAGGATTGACAATGAGGATTGGACACATGAGGATTGGACAATGAGGATTGGACAATGAGGATCGGACAATGAGGATTGGACAATGAGGATTGGACAATGAGGATTGGACAATGAGGATTGGACAATGAGGATTGGACAATGAGGATTGGACAATGAGGATTGGACAATGAGGATTGGACAATGTCTGCGAATGCTATTTCTGATGTGAAAGGTAATAGGATGTCCCAATATCTTTTTTCAGCATAAGCAAGATCTGTTTTTAATGAGTAGGTTGGTGTCAAAGCAGTTCCAAACTGTAGTTACATTACATCATCATAATGGGGGAAAAAGCAGCAAGTGATGCAATTTTCTCATGATTATCACTCTGGCAAAACCAATGACCAGTTGTGATGGTAACAAATATAGAAATAAATCGGGGCAATTTAAACCCATGATACGTTTTTGGTGTGGCCAAGGGAGACAACTCTGCACAGTGAATAGAGGCATAATTAACTCAGCCACAAGAGACCACAGCTAAATAATCAACACGTCTCTTGGTGAAGCCAATGAGCATAGTTATGACGTTGAGAAATACAGACAAAAATCTGGGGAACCACAGTTTGAACCAATGATATTGCTTTGGTGTGGCCAAGGGAGACAACTCTGCACAGTGAATAGAGGCATAATTAACTCAGCCACAAGAGACCACAGCTAAATAATCAACACGTCTCTTGGTGAAGCCAATGAGCATAGTTATGACGTTGAGAAATAGACAAAAATCTGGGGAACCACAGTTTGAACCAATGATATTGCTTTGGTGTGGCCAAGGGAGACAACTCTGCACAGTGAAAAGAGGCATAATTAACTCAGCCACCAGCGACCACAGCTTAATAATCAACACGTCTCTTGTTGAAGCCAATGAGCATAGTAATGATGTTGAGAAATACAGACAAAAATCTGGGGAACCACAGTTTGAACCATCATATTGCTTTGGTGTGGCCAAGGGAGACAACTCTGCACAGTGAATAGAGGCATAATTAGCTCAGCCACAAGAGACCACAGCTAAATAATTAACACGTCTCTTGGTGAAGCCAATGAGCATAGTAATGACGTTGAAAAATACAGACAAAGATCTTGGGAACCACAGTTTGAACCCATCATATTGCTTTGGTGTGGCCAAGGGAGACAACTCTGAACAGTGAAATGAGGCATAATTAACTCAGCCAACAGCAACCACAGCTAAATAATAAACACGTCTCTTGGTGTAGCCAATAAGCATAGTAATGATGTTGAGAAATACAGACAAAAATCTGGGGAACCACAATTTGAACCCATCATATTGCTTTGGTGTGACCAAGGGAGACAACTCTGCACAGTGAATAGAGGCATAATTAACTCAGCCACCAGCGACCACAGCTAAATAATCAACACATGTGTCTTGGTGAAGCCAATCAGTATGGTCATGATGCTGAGAAATACAGACAAAAATCTGGGGAAAAACAAGATAAAAGTATGACATTGGTTTTTCTCTGTATGTGCCCACAACTCTGAGACAACTCTGCACAGTGAACTGTGGCATAATTAACTCAGCCTTGCACAGCCGAGTTAACTAATCCACAAGTCACTGTTACACTGCTTAAAAACCTATGTACTCACAGGTGATGGGAGATCGTCACACACATAAACCCATAAGGTACTGATAATGTCTAACAAGGGTAATGACTGTTTAACAATGTACTAACAAAGCAAGAGTAGAAAGAGGGTGAAATCTATCAAATAGCCTTCCTGTTAACAATTACATACATCATAAGTCTGGCTAAAACGAAATGGAATTAATCACTGACTGTACAAGAAATTCCACTACATTTTCTGTCCAAATGGGCATATAAAGAAAATGAAAAGTGACTCTAGCATTTATTATCAATAACGATTCATAGAAAATCTTCATAACTGACATTAGTGGTCTTCAACAGTCAGAATTTGAATTACAAACTATTCCTTAGGCCAAAACAAATTTAATATTACATGCTGCTTTTGGTCAGAGTTAGTGACAAGATTCATGTTGTGGATATTAAAAACAAATTTACAAATTATTACTCTGGAAGCAACAGCTCGGGCTAAGAGTTCATTTTACGGGTTTCAGTGGAAAACCTGTCCTTCCAAACTGGTCACTAGAGCTCGACATAAAATCATCATTCTTGTTGCCGAAAAACTTTTAATAATTAAATTAAATTCAACAATAAAAGAAACAATTGAAAACATAAATATACATCTGTTGTAGCCTCAGGGATATAGGTTTACATTATTTTGAATTTGGACGACAGACTGTTGAGACAAATCTAGACAGACGCAGACTGTTAGTAAGAGGTGACAGTCATGTTAGCGACAGACTTATGTAGTGTATAAGCAAGGTTCTCGTTACATCAGTGTTGGGTTTTTGTGACACCTTGAATGGCGTCTCCCCGTTGACCTTCATGGACGAGTTGCTCTTGCTCTCAAGGTCGTTGAATTTCTCTTTCTCTTTTTGTTTCTGCTGGAGATTTAAAAGTGCTGCCGACTCAATTATCTGACTGGCGGCATTCGCGGCCAGGTTAGATTGCAGAGGAAGACTCTTGCCATAGATCTTCTCTAACAGAGTTTGCTGAAAGAGAGAGTGAGTGAGTGAGTGAGCATGGTTTTATACTGCTTTTAGCAATATTCCAGCAATAACATGGGCTTCACACATTGTACCTAGGAACGGTATACCCAACTTGAACTGTTCTGTCAAACTCTATGCATTTCCTTGCCAGATGTCAACTTTCTGCATTATGATCACATCTCGTAAACCGAACCGAACCGGACCGAACCGAACCAAAGGCCTTGTACCGCAATACGTACTGTACCGTGGTAAGAGCGTACCGTTTCACCCCTAATTGTACCCACATGGGGAAACGAACTTGGGTCTTCAGCATGACAGCGCTTTACCACAAGTCGACCTGTCTTCTTAATATAGGTCTGCTGTCTTTTCTGTTGATTAACACTGCACTCAGCAATATTCCAACTATATTGATGCAGGGATTTACAGGACGCGAATTCCTGCGTCTTATACGCATAAACATTGACAACGGACGCAACAAAATTAATTAGCACATCCACATGGATGCAGAAAAAGTCCAAATACTTTTTTTTTTTATATATATGTCGACCAAGTAACAAGTCTGCTATTAGCTACTAGCCATTTGCAATTTAATTACTTTAACAATGTGCTGATCATGTTACACAATACGATAACAGTAAGTGAATTACAATAATATTACAGCATAGTATTAATGATTATATTTAAGTGTCTGGGACCCCCATTTTGTAGGGCAGGCCCCTAAAAATCAAGAGTAAGTCCGCCAGGGACCCTCAAATGCATGACTCAATGTAAATCACTGATTGATGAAAACCCAAATTAAACAGATCAGGAAATGACAATGCCATGATGGACATTACGATTGTTGGTTGTGTAACACCGCACTCAGCAATATTCCAGCTATATCATGGTGACCTGTAAATTACCGATTCGGACCAGATAATCCATAGACCGACATCATGAACATCAAACTACAAACCTGGGACATAATGACATGCATCAACAAAGTCAGCAAGCCTGACTGTTAAATCATGGATTTCACCTCCTTCAACATACAATTGAAGCTGAAGACAAATTCAACCTGGATCTTCAGGGTTTAACAAAAGAAACTAGAAAGTGTTTTACTCATAAAAACAGATGTCTCCTCCTTCCCCCAATTCAACGTTGAGGCCTCAAACAATTCATTTGATTCCTTCAATTTCAAAATCTCTACCTTCAAAAAGACCAAGTACAAATTGTTGCCATGAAAACAGAAAAAAATGAAATTGAAAAAAAATCAACCCCCCAAAAGGCACATCTATATGATATGGAGAGGCAGTATGGCAAATTTGGTGAAAATGGGTTGAATAGTTGCAAAAATTTTGCTCCGGAAACAAACTTTACCCTTCAAAAAGACTATGTCAAAATTGTTGCTATGAAAACAGAAAAAAATATAGTTGAAGAAAACCTCAACCCCCCAAAAGGCACATCTACATGATATGGAGAGGCAGTATACCAAATTTGGTGAAGATTGTTAAAGTAGTTTTAGAGTTATGTTCCAAAAATAGTGGGAACTCTGAAGCCGAAGGAAACTCAACCCCAAAACATGATATATCTCTCGACCCTTCGGGGGGAGACATAATGACCAACGTGAAGTGTATGATATTTACAACACAGAAATATGCTCAGTGAATAACTTACCACTTCCTGCTTAGACAAGGCATGGCCAATCTCCTCTTGGGTAAAGTTGACATATGCAACAGACCCATCTATAGAGCAACACATCAACTCAAGCCCATTCTGACTCCTGAAATGAAGACATCAACAGTCAGTCATAATTAATGTAGCTTTACACAGTAATTCAGATAAATCACAGTTTGTCAGCCGGTTAATGGTCATTATCACAAATTATAGCTAAAATACATGGGATTATCATGAAACGGCCCTCCTATTATCAGAAATTTGCGGGCCGCTGCAAATGATATTGGACCGCTCAACCATAATGACGGGCCACTATCAGTTCTGTTGTCAAGTGACATCATAGTGGGTGCGTGGGCTTACGGGTCATTCTACTTTGGTTTTGGACTGGCAGACATTCTGGGGCAAACAAGTCAAAGCAACCCAAATTCCCGCTTTAAATAACGGTAATATTGGCTTTCTTGCTGGTGCTAACCTTAACAATTGCACTATTAACGTTGTTTTTGGTCCAACACCGAACACTGAAAACTGACGTTGTGTCTGACATAGTTAGACATATTGCAGGCCATGGTCTTGTCAAGGGCCAAGGTCGAATATCGTCACATTCTGTTTTGACGCCACTTGAATTGTTAGATGACATAATTGCATTCGGCCAGTCAACCCCGTCAGAAGTTTGTTTTGAGTAAACTTACAGTCAAATTCCTTCATGTTTCCTTTTTCTTTTCAAAACAAAATTCCATGTATTTTAGCAATAATAACAGTAATGCTATTTTTGAGGGCATTATCATTTGCAGAAGCCCTCGGTCTTTTTCAACTGCCCTCCTTCGTCGGGGCAGTTAATGGAAGACCTAAGGCTTCTGCAAATGATAATGCCCTCAAAAATAGCATTACCCTTATAACATCAGCTATGGCTGACAAACAATGGATCACTACTGTGGTAAATCGAGGAGTGAAGCTAAGAAGAGCAGATCCAAGCTTGGCTAAGGGAGATAACTCTGAACAGTTAGACTCCCAAAGTGCTAAAAAAATATTTGTGAAAGTCCACAAATCTTTGTTCAAAGACAAGCATGTTTAATTTCAAACTGCAATCCCAAATGTAGCAGCATCCTTGTATACTATTTGCAAGAATCAAGCCAAATTAGTTGGCATTTTCAGCAACATGTCACCATGACAGCGAAGGCACCAAGTCAATCCAATCTGATCCGATTCAGTTCCCTATTCAGGGGCCTGATCCACTAAGTGTTTGTAGCGCTACAAGCTTACACACCTGTAGAGTTTATATAGGCTTAAGAATAATGTAGTGCTACGAACACGTTGTTGATCAGGTCCCAGGCACTTATCTTTGCCCAGCAAACTGACAGGACAAAGGGGTCACAATGTAATTTATTAAATAGCTTGCAGTACCACAGTAATTACTATATACTACTTGCTGCGCCACTCACCAAGATATATCCATAATTGAGCTATTGAATAAATCATGTGTTACAACCAGAGGGCGTCGCAAGGCTGTCAGCTGTAAAGGAAGAATATACAAGAGAGTTGAAATTCACATTAACTGTAATTGCCTAACATACAAACTAGGCTGTCTGTGGCTCTGCTTTCTAATACAGCCATATAGAGGTAGCTCACTGAGTTACCATGCTGCAGTTTTACAAGTATACCATACTTAGACACAATGAATGATGTTATCCACTATAGTCTGTTTGCAGTGAAAACATACCGATGAATTTCACTTTAAAAAAAAAGAGGTAAATCTAATACAGTGAAATTAAGATTACGAATCCTAATAATTTTACCTTGCCAATTGAACATTCAAATCTCAGAATTTTATTCAGGATCATACTGACTGACTGACTGAGTTTAGTTTTACGCCGCTTTTGGCAATATTCCAGCAATATCACGGCAGGGGACACCAGAAATGGGCTTAACACATTGTGCCCATGTGGGGAATCGAACCCGGGTCTTCGGCGTGACGAGCCAACGCTTTAACCACTAGGCTACCCCACTTCCCCTTCAGGATCATAGATGCAAATCGCTATTATTGGTTTGTATTACAAGGGGGTGAACGCAGTAGATGGAACAGTGAAACAAATGCACATGCGGTACGTGATGAGCGTTAACTTAAACCAACACTACTTGTTCTCGATGTTTCATTTAAAGTGCATACCCCCTTGTAATAGAAACCAATAATAGCGATTTGAAACTAAGATCGTTTTATGCTTTTATCATACGTTGAAAAAATTCTGAGATTTAAATGTTCATTTGCCAAGGTAAAATTATGAGGATTCGCAATCTTAATTTCACTTAACTTGATTTACTTATTTGTTGAAAGTGAAATTCATCGGTATGTTTTCACTGCAAACAGACTATAAAAGCTGAACACCAGGCAGGGTATTAACAAGTTCCATCTTTAACATCTTTAAGTGTTGTGGACACAGAATAACATCAACATCTGTGTTGCTATATGGCTGAAATATTGATGAAGCAACATTAACTTCTAACTTCTCAGCATGTACAAGTATTGACAGGACACCTACCCATATTGAGAGAGATCTGTCTTTACTTCCGATAGCACAACATGAATATTGCTGACTCTGCAAATAAAAACAAAAGATATTTCAAATATAGTTTTGGAGATCTCCCCAATTTGAAGCATAATTATTGCATACACATTTTTTTCTATTTAGTAGTGCAGTAAACAATATCAGACGTCAGACAAACCAGTGAGTGAGAGAGTGAGTGAGTGAGTGAGTGAGTGAGTGAGTGAGTGAGTGAGTAAGGTTTAATGCCGCCTTTAGCAATATTCCAAAAAATAGACTTCACACACTGAACCCATGTGGATAATCAAAATCAGGTTTTCGGCGTAACGAGTGAACGCTAAGACCACTAAGCTACCCTTACTGCCCCTAGTGGTTGACAGCAGGAGCAACAATGGCACCCCACTAAAGCTAGTCCCCAGAAGTTATGACAAGCAGTTGAGTTGATTGTTTTACATCGCACTTGGCAGTAATAAAGCCATATGACATCAGTCTGTAAATATATTGAGTCTGTACCAGACAATCCTGTGATTGATGTTATAAGCAATGACAGTTGGGGTACAAAGACTTGAAAACTGCCAAGTGGCCAAAACCTGACCACCCAATCCACTTAGTCACCTTATTTGCTATCAGGATAATGTTTCATATGTAGCACTTATGCAAATTACCTTTCCAGAATCCTTCTTTATTTTTTTGGTCAAAATTTGAGGATTAAATCTCTGGAAGAAAAACAAGTGTAAATGTAAACAAACATTGTTCAAAGAAGCAATAAAATAAACATCTGAATGAAAAGCAGATTTGTTACGATTTTGTAACACCTTAAAAATGAATGCATCATTTGTCCATCATCATCATTGCTGAAACACGTTATTTTAGGACTCGGCAGACATGGGACAAAAACATCTCAAAATGGAAGTATGCTCAATTATAAGAGAATCAATGTTTATTTTACAAAATTGAGAACATCAGGCAGATTGTTGACTCACCACAACAGTGATAGCTTTCCGATGTCCCACAAAGTCAAGCGTTGCCTTCCACCCATCCCTCTCGATGATCTGCGCTGTGGGGCCGGAGTTGTTCATGGCATGTGCTGAGACGATGTAGTGACCATCTGGTGACCAGTTCAGACGGAGTACATGAGTCGTGCCGCCACACTGAATAAACGGAAAATGTCACATTTTGTGATTATCAGTAAGTACAGCAATTTCATAGGGTTCAACCTAAGAAGGAAGCAACAATCTGCTAACAATAAAATCTGGGCCAACAAATAAATGATTGCTATTACAATCAACTTCCACACCGGCAGTTTATGTGTCACATCATCAATAAAGGCACCTTGCCTGGCCACCAGATCCATGGTCATTTAAAATCTAATTGGTTGATCAAAGCAGGCAGCTATGGCTACACAATGCCATTTAGAAAGTCGTCTAACGTAACATGTAATTATTAGAATTACACTTTCTTACTAAAGTACAGATTCTAGTACAACCTTTCGTCCGTGGCAGCTGTGCCAATTTACACTTGTCAGAAAGGTACACAAAGTATGTGAGCTTGACTACCAGTTGCCCGAATTCCATTTTCGTGGGAAGCTGCGGTGGCTGAATGGGTTAGGTGGCTAAATTTGTGTGCTGGCAATTAGGTGCCTGACCAGATGGGACTCAACCTAACACAAGTACTAGAATCTGTACTTTACTAAGAAAGTCTAATCTAAAATAATATGTGTTACAGGCATTACAGCATTCAGATACTATTGTTACATCCCATCCCAAGATGTTCCAACTCCATCCCATCCCAAGATGTTCCAACTCCATCCCATCCCAAGATGTTCAAACTCCATCCCATCCCAAGATGTTCCAACTCCATCCCATCCCAAGATGTTCAAACTCCATCCCATCCCAAGATGTTCAAACTCCATCCCATCCCAAGATGTTCCAACTCATCCCAACTCCATCCCATCCCAAGATGTTCAAACTCCATCCCATCCCTCCATCCCATCCCAAGATGTTCAAACTCCATCCCAAGATGTTCAAACTCCATCCCATCCCAAGATGTTCCAACTCCATCCCATCCCAAGATGTTCAAACTCCATCCCATCCCAAGATGTTCAAACTCCATCCCATCCCAAGATGTTCCAACTCCATCCCATCCCAAGATGTTCAAACTCCATCCCATCCCAAGATGTTCCAACTCCATCCCATCCCAAGATGTTCAAACTCCATCCCATCCCAAGATGTTCCAACTCCATCCCATCCCAAGATGTTCCAACTCCATCCCAAGATGTTCAAACTCCATCCCATCCCAAGATGTTCCAACTCCATCCCATCCCAAGATGTTCAAACTCCATCCCAAGATGTTCCAACTCCATCCCATCCCAAGATGTTCCAACTCCATCCCATCCCAAGATGTTCAAACTCCATCCCAAGATGTTCAAACTCCATCCCATCCCAAGATGTTCAAACTCCATCCCATGTTCCAACTCCATCCCAAGATGTTCAAACTCCATCCCAAGATGTTCAAACTCCATCCCAAGATGTTCCAACTCCATCCCATCCCAAGATGTTCAAACTCCATCCCATCCCAAGATGTTCAAACTCCATCCCATCCCAAGATGTTCAAACTCCATCCCATCCCAAGATGTTCCAACTCCATCCCATCCCAAGATGTTCCAACTCCATCCCATCCCAAGATGTTCAAACTCCATCCCATCCCAAGATGTTCCAACTCCATCCCATCCCAAGATGTTCCAACTCCATCCCATCCCAAGATGTTCCAACTCCATCCCATCCCAAGATGTTCAAACTCCATCCCATCCCAAGATGTTCAAACTCCATCCCATCCCAAGATGTTCAAACTCCATCCCATCCCAAGATGTTCAAACTCCATCCCATCCCAAGATGTTCAAACTCCATCCCATCCCAAGATGTTCAAACTCCATCCCATCCCAAGATGTTCAAACTCCATCCCATCCCAAGATGTTCAAACTCCATCCCATCCCAAGCTGTTCAAACTCCATTCCATCCCAAGATGTTCAAACTCCATCCCATCCCAAGATGTTCAAACTCCATCCCAAGATGTTCAAACTCCATCCCATCCCAAGATGTTCAAACTCCATCCCATCCTAAGATGTTCAAACTCCATCCAATCCAAAGATGTTCAAACTCCATCCAATCCCAAGATGTTCAAACTCCATCCAATCCCAAGATGTTCAAACTCCATCCCATCCCAAGATGTTCAAACTCAACTGTAATGAGTGAGTATGGTTTTACGCCACTTTTAGCAATATTCCAGCAATATCTCAACAGGGGACACCAGAAATGGGCTCCATACATTGTACTCATGTAGAGAATCGAACCCAGGTCTTCGGCGTGCAAAGTGAACATCTAACCACTAGGCTACCCGACCGCCCCCTGACAGCTGCACCATGTGGCTGTACTGAACACAAGCTATGACTGACAGCTGCACCATGTGACTGTACTGAACACAAGCTATGACTGACAGCTGCACCATGTGGCTGTACTGAACACAAGCTATGACTGACAGCTGCACCATGTGGCTGTACTGAACACAAGCTATGACTGACAGCTGCACCATGTGGCTGTACTGAACACAAGCTATGACTGACAGCTCACCTCCTTGAATGGCTCTGCTACACAAGTCTCCTGCTGCCAGTCCAAAGTCCTCCACACTTTCAGTGTCTTGTCATCCGACTGTAATGAGACACACATTTCAGTTGAGCAAAACATCGCCAATGCTCACAAGTAATTATCTCCCTTGCTTTAACGGGAACAAAACGTTTGTCCTGCAAAGGACGCTTTAGCTCATCCATCTGTATGAACCATGAGGTTATCAAGCCTTGGAGTAGTATTATAATATACAGGGATTCATTCAAGAAAAGATTGTGAAGAACTTTAAAACTTGACAGTGACATAAAATGTCACATGAAATGTTAAAGAAACAAATCAGTAATTTACTGTCAACAACTTAGTGTAAAGGTTTGTGTTTATTTGCATGTTGTTTAATGTCACACTCAGCAATATTAAATCTATATGGTGATGGTCTGTAAATAATCAAGTCTGGACCAGACAATCCAGTGAACAACATCATGAGCATCGATTTATGCAGTTGGGATACATGAGGTATGACTGTGTCAACCAAGTCAGCAAATCTGATCCTGCTAGTCGCCTCTTACGACAAGTATGGATTGCTGAAGACCAATTCTAATCCAGATCTTCATGTGTGTAGTGGCAGTGCCTGACAACAGCAATACCTGTGAAGCAAGGTACTTTCCAACTGGATCCCAAGTTACCCCTTTCACAAGGCCAGAGTGACCTTTCAGCGTTGCAACTTGTTCTGAAAAGGAATTAAACAAGTAAAAACGCTGTTGGAGCAAACATGACAAATAAGTGAAAATATCACACATTCATTAACAACATAACTTCCCCAATCACTTCCTGAATATCAAGGGGCGGTGGGGTAGCCTAGTGGTTAAAGCGTTGGCTCGTCACACCGAAGATCCGGGTTTGAATCCCCACATGGGTACATTGTGTGAAGCCCATTCTGGTGTCCCCCGCCATGATGTTGCTGGAATATTGCTAAAAGCGGCGTGAAACCAAACTCAGTCAGTCAGTCCTGAATATCAAAATCAAGGACATTGCAGTTAAAGTTTCACAATAAGAGGGTGAGAGTGGGTTCACCTCTTTAGTGAAAACAAGCAGATACAAGGTACCGACAGACCTGGAAACAAGAACAGGTCTCACATCCAACTCTGCACTCAAGGACACAAATCTGCATATTGAATGGCAGAACTTCAGATGGCTAGGTTCACATGAGCTCTTGACATCTGACAAATCCTCATTCAGTGTCTGTTATGATACCACTGCTGTACTTTTGTACCAGTATTTCCGTTCCTTGGTATATAAGGCGTTGGTTGTATGCTTTTGGGTTAGGATTGAACATTGAAGGGTGCCTGTTCCTGCATTTGGTTGAAATGTGGGGTACCTCATAACTGGAACTAAGGTGAACCCAACAGTGTTCATTTTCTTGAAGTCAGTCATAATGTCATAGTTACAACCACACTGCATTAGTGTTGGGAATTGGTTAAAATCTAATAATTGATGATTGGTCCATTACAACTGATCAATCATTGAAAATAATTGGTTAGCATCATTTATCAAATGTTCCTGTTATTTTTGTTAATGCACAAAAAAATAAAGAAAAAACATGTAGTAATTTGTTTTTTTTGCAAATTGCATAAAGTCCATTTGCAAATTTTGCATATTTAAATGATGATTAGTATGTTAGGAACACATATTTCCTGGATTCTTTAAGATAAATTCAATCATGACTTGGAACGAGCTTGTACATGTAGTGCTTATGAAATGTAAATTTAATGACACAGACAAAACCAGCCTTGTGAAAAATAATGTTAATGCAAACAAGTGTTCCAAGATTGGTCGTGTTCGATTATGAGAAAACATGTTTGATTGCTTGGTCGTTTAGTCACTGCAACCAATCTTCGATTATTTCAATTAATCGGACCACCACTACACTCCATGAAGTGTTTATTGCCATATGGGAATATTTACCGACATTTTACTGACTCTTTCACACTAGCACACTAACTACCTCAACACTGACCTGGGAACTTGTGCACATTCCACACGATGATGGTGTTGTCCACGCTGCAGGAGGCTAGCCAGATGTCCTGGGGAGACCACGCCAAGTCTAGGACATCTGAAATATAACATCACTTGTGTAGATCATTTGAACAGGGATTATTTAGATCTCAGGGCAGTGGGATAGCCTAGTGGTTAAGGTGTTCGCTCATCACCCCGAAGACCCAGGTTCCATTCCCCATAAGGCCAAAATGTGTGAAGCCCATTTCTTGTGTTCCCCCGCCATGATATTGCTGGAATATTACCAAAAGTGGCGTCAAACTAAACTCACTCACTCTCACTCAGTCCTGTAAATAAGAACATAACTTGTACGATGCATCCTTCTCATTAGACAGGTTATCTCTCCATTAGTCCTGAAACGACTTTGCCAAGCGTGGATTGATTGATTGATTGATTGCGGTGGTCTATAAATAATGAAGTCTGGACCAGACAATCAAGTGATCAACATCACGAACATCGATTTCCACAATTGGGATACAACAACATGTGTCAACAAAGTCAGTAAGCCTGACCACCTGATCCTGTTAGTCACCTCTTACGATAAGCAAGGGCTGCTGAAGACCGATTCTACCCTGGATCTTCACGGGTCTGCCAAGTATGGAACAGACATGCACAACTTAACATGTGAATCAGGCTGTCTGATTGGCTGTAAATAATCATAAACTTTGTTACTAACTGGTTCCTGCAAATATATATAAACGTTTTTCCAACAACACGGATGGCAAGGTTTTAAGACACACAATACTTGAGAAGGAAATCCATACCTCCAAGATGTCCCCGTAGTGTGGATGCAGGCCTCCATGACTCCACATTTACAATATTTGACCCAAACACTGACGACGGCCGTGCAAACCTAAAGGCAAGGGAACAGAATAATACACTCTCAATGCCAGACTAGACATCAGTAAGGCTGTTTCTCTGTTTTTCTTTGTTGGCCATATAATCAAGTCTGAACAAGACAATCCAGTGTTTGACATCATCCGAGATCTACACAATTTGGGTAGAATGACACACAAACATGAGGTCACCTAACCTGACCAACACAATCCATTCAGACAATTTTCATGACAAGCACAGGATTCTTGGGCTTATATTCTAAACTTGAAACAGGAGCAGCAATTTATGCCACCTGTAGCCCTTGATCCCAACCAAATATTGGTACCACTTGGGGGGGCAAAGTCTCACCTGTATAGAAATATAGTTCTAACCCCTGGCAACATGTTTTCATGTGATAGCAATATAGATTTCACAGCTTTTAGTTTTTACAGCACTTTAAAGCATAACCTCTGAAGTTCATAGCCGACTTCACGATATGTAATCACCATTAGTTAAACCAACTGATCACAGTTACCAATATTTGTCATATCAAGTGCCCTGTTCCAAGAATTGTCCCTTTATCAACCCCATATTAAAACCCAAAAATTAAATGACAACCTATTTCCTCCTTGTGCATAATACAGATTTCTCTACAGAAAACACAGCAATGTAAAAGGGTATAACTCCCGTGTAACTATCACAAAAAATGTTTCAGGTTTGTTAACATTTAAGTTATACTGCTATATCTCTGACAACAAATATGACAGTGTCAGTAATACTTAACACCTACGGCAATTCTTCTAAGCTTCCAGGGTGGTGGGGTAGCCTAGAGGTTAAAGCGTTTGCTCGTCATGCCAAAGACCAGGGTTCAATTCTCCACATGGGTAAAATGTGTGAAGCCCATTTCTGGTGTCCCCCGCCGTGAAATTGCTGTAATATTGCTAAAAGCGGCATAAAACCTTACACACTCACTCTAAGCTTGCAGGGCACTTATTACAGAAAGTACCATACATCTGATGTAACTTGTACATGAATCCCAAAAGCCAGAACATGAGAAAATAGAATTTCAGTATATCTCTTGGTTCCACCATTTCATCATCAAGAAGAGATTACATGATCTTTAAGCTGTCACTTACTTGCTGTGCTGCCAAATCATGATAAGTTTGTCGTCACCTCCTGACGCTAGAAATTTGCCACTGTGAGACCAGCGAACACAGTTTACACAAGCTGGAACCAAACAACATCATGTTACTTTCAAGACAATGTGTGGACAGCATTAGGGACCGTTCATAATTTATGGCTTGGGGGGTGATGATGATTTTAAATGGGGGTGGGGGTTGTTTCCACCAATTTGTTCTGGGCAGCAATTTTGTACACACGTACTAGGGGGTCAGCAATTTTGCACATAAAAACATGTTTAAAATTATACTTATAAATTATGGGAAGGGGAGGGGGGGCACTGATTTTGTACATGACATGCAGGGGGGTCACTTATTTTGTACATAAATTTTAGGGGGGGTCATTCACATTGTACATGCTTCTTCATAAAAATCATCATCAGCCCCCCCTAGCCATAAATTATGAACGGTCCCTTACAGAGATAAGATCTGTAATCTCAATGAGGCATTTCTACACTTAAATACTTAGTTACTTTCAAAAGGCCTTTACTTTATTAAATCCTTTACGACCTGCATTTTCAGGCATTTCTTTATACCCAAATTATGATAATCATAAGATTTTTCAACTACTTACTTCAATTTAACAAAATCTACTGTAAGTTAATACAAGGAAATAACAAATATTTTCAGATATTTTTATTGTACTGTTCAGGGGTGGAAATAACCCATTGCCCGACATCCGAGTCCAGTGTTTTTTTCTGTCGGGCAAGCAAATTTGTATATCACACTGTACCGGTGTCCAGTTGACTTTCCAATGTTAATTATGTTGTTTATTGAAAAAATCAATAAGAAAACGGACGGTATAGTGGAAAAATTATCAGGGCAAGTGATTTTACATGTGCCACTGTACCGGAGTACACTAGCAATTTTAAAGTTATTTCCACCCCTGTTGTTATTACAATTTCAGATATAAAACTACAGAAACCAAGAAACAAAAACATAATTTGATTCTTAGTAGTAAATGTTCACAAAATTAGAGCTACATTCAGATGAAACATTTCTTTGATTAAACAAATGGGACATTCAAGAAAACTACCTAAATGATCGTCCATCTGACACAGTACTTTGGGGATATTCTCATCCTTCTCCACCTCTTCATCCTGGACCGGACCCATGTTCCAGATGACCACATTGCCGGCATCATCACCTGTAACACGACACCACATTTCAACATATCATTTTTAAGTAAAACTTACAACTAGGTGTTTGGTTTTGGAAAAATACAATATCTGTTTTTGCAAACAAAATGAGTTTGTAAAAACAGGAATATATACTGATGAGCAAAAGAAACTTTCTCTTGCAAACTTTTTCATAATATTAACATAAGACAATATAATCAAATGCAAATTGTCCCATAGTTATTGCCAACAACAAGGGTTCGATTCTGACCAACATCAGCGCTCAAAGGCACCGCACTTTGCATCGAAAACAGCAAAATGCGCGTGTTTTGCAAGTAAGGGTACAATGCACGTGCATGCATGGTATAAAACCACCTCACAGCACAGAGCAGATGGTACTTCAGCACAAAACCACTTTACCATGCCAAGGTTAACTTCAGCAGAGCGAGAGAGGGCCATCGGAATGCTGCAAATTGCTCCGTCGTGATCGTCAGGAACCTTCGTCGGCGTTACCAACAGACTGGTCAAACCTCAGACAGGCCCCAGACAGGCAGACCCCGGGTGACAACTGCGCAGGAAGACCGCCACCTGAGGACGTTACACCTTAGAAACCGCTTCCTGACGGTAACGTTTTCAGCGTCAACAGCACTCGGTCACCCAGTGAGTCGAAGGACAGTGTCAAGGAGACTACGGGCCTATGGTATCAGGGCCTACCGACCGTACCGAGGAACGCTGCCGACATGGACGCTCGAGTTGTCCAGAACTTCTTTCACGCCAACAACGTCGACGTCCTGCCATGGCCTGCACGCTCTCCTGATATGTCAAGCACGATGGGACCACATTGACATGTCAAATCTAGAGACTTTGGTTCTTGCCGTTCACGCTTTGCATTTAGCAATATACCAACTACATCAAAGGAATACAGCAGAATTGGACAGTGATTTAAATTCAAACTTGGGCCGATGACAGAACGAACAAATAATGCAACCACAAAGCTGCCCCACAGCCCAAAAAACAAAAGAAATGTATTGCAAACATGATCAAGATTTCACTTACTCTGGCCTCCTGTCGCAAATCTTGAGCCATCAGGGTGGATGTCAATTGAGAAGATAGGTTTGCCTGGAAAGAATTATACATGTTACTTTTCTCACATGTCAGTATTCCAAACAAAGTTTGCGACAAATGGAAACATGCCCAAGTCTGTATTACAAATTTCAATTTCAGATTTTTACCATGAAAACCAAACATGACTAGCATACCACTGATTAGAAAGGTAAATAGCATTGAAGCTTTGTTTCACATGATTGAATTGAATGAAGAGTTAAGATGACATTTTTGCCATCACAATATGTTTTGAGAGAGAGAAATAAAGACCACCACATAAATGGTCATCACATGCAGTATATCTGACAGTATATCTGACAGTATATATATCAGTATATCTGACAGGTAATTTTGAAAGTATCAAGCAAGGAAAAGCAACGTCTTTGAGTGGCAATTTCGAAGTTGGGAAGTGGAATAAAGACAAGTTTATATGGATACTAACATCTTTTATTTTGTGAGTTGTTATCCATGAATTTGTCATTATTGTAAGGAAAAGCAAATAGTATATGGTCTCTGGATTCATTTATAAATGGGTCGTTTGATAAATAGTAACTGACAATTATGCATTCAGTATTCTCTATTTCAAGTCAGCATCTCATTTCAAACGTTCTCAATTAATATGATACATGGACCGGCAGATGAATGGACCATTACCACGGTCGTATGTCAACATAGATTATACCTGGTCTATATATGGTCTCAATTAACAAAAAACACGCGAGCACAACCGATCTGTGATGAGGTTAAACTACGGATATTAGATTTTATGTTTAGTGTGTCTGAACCAATGCAAAGAAACGTCATTTCCTAAATGAAATAATTGTGACTTCATAAACTACGAGAAGATATTACACTTCGATGTCAACACTGCACCTCAGCATAGTAAACAAGTAAGGGAATGATGTAACATTTGTGCAAGGATGAATCAGTTGTGGCCATGTTTATTTGGTCAAGTTGCATTGTTGTCATAACCATGTCCGTCTCTTTGTCACTGTTACGCATTGTGCGATTACGCTCAATTTGCATAAATTTGACAATTTCGAAATACCTCCAAAAAAGGCATTTCACCGAACTATTAATGAAACAAATGTGCATATTCACCCTCGTGGGATACCCAGTTTGGTTTCAGCAAACGCATTCTTGCTCAACTAACTTCCCGAAAATATTTTCGGTTTGTGTATTTTCTACAAAATCATTTGTCACGCTCTGCAATGGGTCCCGCCATGTTTGAAGTTTACACTGAAATCTCGGGCCGCGCGAGGTTCAGCTGTCAAAGGTGAAGGTCATTATCAAGGGACAGGTGCCCTTACGCCATGACATCGAGTTACTTCCCCTGGACTAAAACCACAATGCTCCCATACCTTTAGCGCTTTTAAAAAACTTACAATCTCAAGATGTTCCATCCGTTACGAGAAGGTAAACACAAAGAATCAAAGGAGGACAAAAGTAAAATTATCACTTGTCCATCTCATGAATTTTGATAACTTTTAAAACTTTGTTATTTATAATACACAAACCATTCACAAATTGAAACCTCAATATATTTATTATTAAGAGTTCACACCAAGAGCTTTCCTACAAAACACTCTGGCACAATGCTTTTCTTCTTCATAGATTTTGTGTGAACATAAATGCGTTCTATATAAAAGTCAATAAAGTCAAGAAACGTCACCTTGGTAAATAACAAAATAGCCACAAATGGTGTTCCTATGTTACGCACCCTTTGTTAATTTTATTCAGACAATTTGAACAAATTCGTCAGAATTATTTTTCCTATGTTATCTATTTTATTCCTATTTCTACCTATTTCAAACATTGTAGGACAGTCACAAATCCCCCGAGTTTGGATTCCTGTTTTATTATTTTATTCCCATTTCTACCTATTTCAAGCATTGTGGGACAGTCATAAATCCCCTTAGTTTGGATTCCTGTTTTATTATTTAATTCCCATTTCTACCTATTTCAAGCATTGTGGGACAGTCATAAATCCCCTTAGTTTGGATTCCTATATTATTATTTAATTCCTATTTCTACCTATTTCAAACATTGTGGGACAGTCATAAATCCCCTTAGTTTGGATTCCTATATAATTATTTAATTCCTATTTCTACCTATTTCAAACATTGTAGGACAGTCACAAATCCCCCGAGTTTGGATTCCTATTCTATTCTTTTATTCCTATTTCTATCTATTTCAAACATTGTAAGGCCGTCATAAATCTCCGAATTTTGGATTCCTATTTTATATATTTTATTCCCATTTCTACCTATTTCAAACATTGTAGGATAGTCATAAATCTCCATCCTCGCCACATTCACCATTCCCAGAAGCAAATCAATCAGTTTCGGAACTATAGTGACTGAGTGAGCATGATTTTACGCTGTGTTTAGCAACATTCCAGCAATGGGACACCAAGAAATGGGCTTCACACATTGTACCCATCGAACTCGGTCTTTGGCGTGACGAGCAAACGCTTTAACCACAAGGCCACCATTAACCACTAGATGTTTAACCATACTGTACAGCGCAGTGTACACATCAAGAACATGGCAAGAAATGTGTCGAGTTTATATTATATAGACCCAACTGAAGACAAGTACGAGTAATTACAGGTAAGTTCTGAGAGAAACGAGAACAGCATTTCTATTACCAAGGGAACTTTGGAAATGTAAAAAAGTATCGGCCCATTGAGTATAAAAGTTTCATGGTACATGTTTCATGATAATCTCTTTCTTTCAAGCTGTTGCAGAAAGTTCTTTCAACACTTTGTGACTATGAATGAGGGTCTTGATTGGCTGTCTTCAGATAGTCTGGTTAGCAAACTCGGCAGTTTGAGGCCAGTACGGGATGTAATTATGGCTACGATATGTGGGAAAATATGTGTCCGTCCACATAGTGTGGCTTTGATCTCTTTCATCAGCAACCTCATCATAATGATCTATCTCCGTCGGACTTCAATCTGTTCCCAAATAAAACGAAATTTCTAGCGCGGGAAACCGATATCGAACCAAACGACGTCGAGCTGTGAACGAGGATGATGTTAAATAGAATAGAAGAATAGAATAATACTTTAATGCCTTTTCAGGAATTTGTGTTACATCAGCAGAGCTACTGACACATTAGAGAGATACCAAACATACTTACATAAATTCTTTGATTTAGGTATCTTCACATTTGTTTAAGAGAGATATGGTACTTGGAATAAAGGATGTACGGGGCTCTCTTAGTTTTCACAATTGGAACTTTGTAGGGGCGGCCTGAAGGGAGGAGGTTGTATTCCGAATTTAAGTAGTGAGTACGGTCAGATATGATTTTGACAGCTTGATTCACGATTTGCCGCTCATATATTGATGATAAACATTCAAATCTGACTCCAACGAATTTACTTGCAGTGTTAACAATTTTGTCTATTTTAGATTTGAGTTGAACTGAGAGAGACCCGTACCAACAATGGAAGGAAAATGTTAAAATACTCTGAATAAATGCTACATAAAAAGACATCACAGATGGGTTAACATTAAAAATCTCAGTTTACGCATGAGATGAAGACGTTGTTGACACTTTTTGTATAGGGCTTCAGTGTTAGTGTTCCAGTTCAGCTTAGAGTCAATGAAGGTTCCCAGATACTCATACTCCGACACTGTCTCAACACATTCACCGTTGATTATCACTGGAAGCATTTCTGTGGGTTTACTCCGAAAGTCAATTATCAGTTCCTTTGTTTTTTGTGACATTTAAGAGTAAGTGGTTTTCTGCACACCAAGTCGTAAAATGATTAATGTCCTCTTTATACAGTTCTTCAGAATCAGTGCTGTTCAGTTTGCCGACAATTGCTGCATCATCTGCGAACTTTACAGTTGAACAGGTTGAATTCGAGCTTGCACAATCATTAGTGTAGAGGGTGAAAACACAACAAAAACATTGTTTTAATATCTTCAGGTCAAGTCTTTCTGTGAGAGGCTCGGAACTTAACAATGTCTACCTTGTACGTACGTACATTTAACGAAACCTTACAATTTCATTTATATATCAAAGCGTGAAAAAACAGACCACACTTGTATTATTAATAACTTGTGATTATGGATGAGGGTGTCATGGAGATTGGTTGTCTTCAGGCAGGCTGGATATCAAGCGATGCAAAATATGCTGCACTTGTTTGGAGAATACGGGATGAAATTAAAGCTACGAGACGCGAGACGGGGGGAAGCTGGGAAAATGTGTCCTTCCATCAGGACAATGCGCCAGTGCACAACCTCAAGACTCAAATCCTTCAGGAGCAAACCCATTTGTTTTATTGTTATAAATGGATAGATGACGTATGTTCTTTGCATACGTAATGTTCGAGACTAAACCTATTTTTATATGAAATCACGTCTGTTTGCATGCTGGTTATGCCATAAAATGCTGATGTCATTTAACTCTAAATCATATTCTGCATGTGGTTTGCTTTGAAACATTGAAACAAAATCCATGGGTTCGGTTTAGGTGCCTCGTAGATGCAATGTCGGGCTGTCAGATAGACATTCACCTCGAGTTCTGTCTTTCCTGACCACAAAACTAGTACCACATCATTACGCTGTCTCCTCCGGATGGCAGTATGCTGGACGCAACGACCTGACGACGATAGATGCGTGTACCATGTGCTCTGAGCTCTTGAGTAACAAATTACTTTCTGTTCGTTCTTATTCTGACGTTGTGTACAGTGTAAAGACTTGAATCAATCACATGGATGTTGAAGATGCCTGAATACCACAGCGACGTCTGGACAGTGTTTGTTACTTGTTTAACGCCGCTCTCAGCAATATTCCAGCTATATGGCGGCAGTAGTGTGCCTCGTCACCCTGGCCCCTTTTTCAAGATGGCGGCACATCCGGTCCCCATGGGCGCCGCCATCTTGGATCCGGTCACTTCCGGTCAGGGGGAGATCACTCGGGTTCCGGTTCCGCTGGTTCCGGTTCCGGCGGGTGCGTACGCATGGCGATGACGTCACGTCCGGTTCCGGTGGGTGCGCGCGCATGACGATGACGTCATCTCCGGGCCAAGATGGCGGACGCGGTTCAAGATGGCGTCCCATCCGGTGGGATCGCGTGAGATCTCGCGGGATCTCGTGGATTCTCGCGAGCGTAGACGCGTTTCAAGATGGCGGAACGGACGAGCGGCGGACGGGACGGGACGGAGAGGGAAGGGAAGGGAAGGAGAGGAAAGGAGAGGGAAGGAGGGAGAGAGGGGGTGAGGCGGACGATGGCGTGGCTAGACGAGTGTGTGTGGTTAAAAAACATTGGATGTAGCCTTCTTTCGAGCGAGGTGGGTGGCCCTGAAAAGGGCTGTTGGTATGTGAACCAGGCAGGTTAGCATTCACAGAGGAGTTGGAGACCCCGAAAAATAAATTTTCCGGGGCACACATGATCGTGTTGCTGCTGCCCTCTCTTGATGATGCCTTCTCCACAGTAGAGGCATATGTAGAAGGCAGCTCCTGGAACGACATCAAAGCGATTTGAGGGATACGCTTTAAAACAGGTAGGGCAGATAATTAGTCGCCATTGGGATGACCATTTTGGTAATGTTGTTGTTGTTGTTGTTGTTGTTGGTGGTGGTGGTGGTGGTGGCGCTACCGTGTCTCCTGTCGTAGGTGGTGGTGATGGGGCTGCCGCTGCTTCTGTTACCGTTGTTGGTATCGGTTCTGCAGGTGTTGTTGCTGCCTCTTCCATTTTGATGTCAGCCTTCCCTTGTAAGGTAGGGCTGCATCGCAAGCATTGCCGTCTACCACAATTTTTCCTGTAAGGCACCGGTCGCATGACTTCTACTTTTCTTGTATTCATGTTGCATGAAGATAGCCCTCACTGATCCATGCTGGAGTTTATATATGGGCGACGAGACAGCGATGACGTGGTATCGATGACGTGGTATCGATGACGTCATGGTCGCGCGTGAGGGTAATGACGTGGTATCGATGACGTCATGGTCGCGCGTGAGGGTAATGACGTGGCACCGGTGACGTCATGATCGTGAGCTCTCACTATATATGATGAGCGGGGTGACGGAAGCAGTGTTACAACCAGCAATCATGTCTGGAGAAAACTGGGATCTGGAACTCATGTCCTTGGAGACAGCATCGCCACCCCCCTTGCCGGCATGGAAGTGCCAACGATGTTATGGGTGTCTACCCGTCTACGCCAATGGCACCATTGAGTACAATGCCACCTTTCAATGTGTCTACTGTGGCACTGTCTTGAAGGACACTTAT